TGCCTGGTGGTGCAGTGCCACCAGGGCCGGATTCACCATTAGGCAGAGTAGGCCTGTGCCATTGAGGGGCACCATGCAGGTCCCTACTCTGCCTAATTCAAAGTGTTATGTCAAGATACAACACCGGCATTAGCAAGGAGGGTGCACAAAATGCACTCTCTTGCTCCAAGACCAGTGGTGCCTACAGGAACCTGCCGGCTTCCACACATGCAGGGGAAGGACCCCAGCGCTGCATAAGCCTGCCCTGCAAAACACCTGTCTGATGCAGAAGGCATTTAGGGCAGCTGTACGTGACACTGGGGTCCTTCTCTGCATATGTAAAAGCCGGCCAGTCCAGCAGCCAGTGAGGGCGCCGGCAAGGGCTAAACAGATTTACATTCGTGCCGCCTGGCAGTGGCGTCACAAGGGGGGGTCTGGGTGGTGCGGCCCGCACCAAGGTGCAACCATTGGAGGGGTGACACCAAAATGACTTCATGGCGTCACTCCCTATGAAAAGTCGAGCACTCGGTCATGGGCCGAGAGCCCGACAGTGTCAGGAGAGAGGAGGGGACCCGGCGGGTGAACATCCTCATACCTCATCCCGCCAGGTGAACGTCCCCTCCTCACTCTGCTGGCGTACACCACCAAGATGCACGATGACATCATGACGTGTTGTTATGGGTGTCACCCGGCTTTCGGGACGCCGCTGCCTACAGGCGCCCAAAATGGAAATCCAGGCCCATGTGCATTGGGGTGCCATTCAAAATGAAATGCACATGTGTCAACGTGCAAAGCGGCAAGCGTGTTTCATCCCTTAACACCATCGTAATGCAAAGCACTCTTAGAATGTACGCGTTCCCACGGCGCTCATTTTTTTTTTTTTCAACGTTTCCATTTCAGAGTCGCCTGTTTGTTTTCTTCCTATTTAGGCTCCTCAATGTTGACTCAACTAAGCCCAGATGTTTAAACAAAATTCAATTTGCACAATACATCTGGCGGCAATTATTTTACCCTGACAACATATAAACATCGGCGCAGCGAATTATACACACTGTACATAAGGCCAGGTGCCGCCAGGTTCTGTTGAATTTGTTTGATTACTTCGCTTCCGACTAATTCATTTATATTTGACTTTTTTTTTCCTTTCCTTTTTTTTTATTTGGAGGCAGCTGTGTTGAATTTCAACGATTTCGGTGGCGGCGATACGCGGCGCCGGACGCCGTGCGCGTTTTGTTGAACGTGTTTACCGCTCTGTTGCCGGGTTGGCTTGGATTCACTTGTTGTGCTTTATTAATTTTATTATTTTTCAATGTGCCGCATTTCCGCTTAACTGACTTGTTTTTATTTGATTATGTAATTTGTCCAACCTGGCAAACGCTCACAATTATTATAATTTGGTGCGGGGATGGCGGGTTGGGTTTGGGAGAGCTGTGGGCTTCGGCGTCGCTTTTTAAGCCAAGTTCTCATATGCTTTGCTGTTTAAAGTGGAACTCCGGGCAAACAGATAAATACAGGGATGGAATACGTATGTATAGAAGATGCTTTACCTGCCAAAGGATTTGTATTTCTGTCCATGCAGTTCTACGGTTGAGGGTCGATGCACATTTATGCGCGTAGCGCATGGGATAATGCATGCACTGCCACATGTTCCCTCCATGCATTGTGCGTTGTGATAACATGTGCCATCTATTCTGAATTGCACCCCAAAGCACAGTAGCGGGCAAACTCCTGCACTTCAGCGCACCCCAGCAATGTCAGCTACAGTTTTCGGGCCTTTGGCATGCTTCGGCAACCCCTCATAATGAATGGGCTGCCTTAAAGCAAACTTCTTTTGAACCCTTGCAGTGCAGGGGTGGTCCCACTGCAAGGGTTAAGTGCTTGTTTGTGTCTAGGTGCAAAAATAAAAAAAAGTTATACTCACCCAATCTTAGGAGCTGGCTTGCTCTTAGTTCGGTCCTTCCAGCTTCTCTCTCCCTTCGCTGCAGCAGTCTAAGGTCCCTGAATCATCATGTTCTATATGGTGTATAGGACGTGAGGACACCAAGGGACTGGAGTGAAGGGGAAGATAGGCTGGAGGGAGCAATGTAACAGCCAGCCGTCTCTGATTTTTTTCACCTAGACACAAACGGGCACTTAACCCTTGTACTGCCTCACTGCAGGGGTTAAAAAAAAGTTTTCCTGGAGATCAAGGCATGTGCATGTGCAAGGGCCTGCTAAAATGTGAATGGGCCCATGTGACTCTGCCACGCAGTACAGGCCTCTTGAATCGGAATTAAAGATTTTTGTATACATTTTTTTATCTTGCATTGACATACGCTTTACATAAAACTAGGGGTGCACCGATACCGAATGCGGATACCGGAAAGTCCCATTAAGGAAACAGGGCGGCGTGTAAAGACTCGCCACTTGGCTTCCCGATTAGCAGGGAATCCGTCTCCATGCTCCCTTGTCACCAGATGACGAGGAAGCATGGTGCCGGCTTTCTGTCCAATCAGGAAGCTGGGGGGCGGGTAATGACTCTTAGTAACTTTATAATTCTACATGAATAAATTCCTGACATGTCTTATGTAGAGCAACAGGAACATTTTCCCCAAAAGCTCCATCATTTATCTTACAAAAGATGCCTGTGAACTCTAAGGGGGTCATTCACAAAGCTGCCGAAGGCAGCCGAGTGATTAACCCAGCCAAAGTGAAGTGCGCCAAACTACGTTCGGCTATTCACTTCTGGCTTGTACGGCTGATTTCAGCCGTACATTGGCTGAAATAAGCCGTACATCGGCTGCCTTCGGTCCAAATCCGAATTCCGAATCCGAATTGACTTTCACACCCGAATCCCGAAAAACGAAATAACACAAATCCGAATTTAAAACGAAACGAAACTAAACAAATTTTTTGGCAGTGCACATGTCTATTGGTTAATTCAAATTAATATAGCAAATAGCAGTCCGGCAATTGCTTCCGGCCACTTACATTCACCTGTCGCCTGTGGAAGCTATCCGGCAGGAGAATGGGGCTGGGCGGGGTGGGGATTTGGGGTAGTGTCGAGGAGGGGGGCTGGGGGGTGCAAGTAGCTGGTATTGCCTAGGGCACAAAATAGTCTAGCACCGGCCCTGCATGTCAGGAATATATTCACGCAGCCTTGTACAGTTACTCAGTTTTATGCATCAGTCCACTATCACTAAACAAATTAGAAATACAGATTTATTTTTAAATAGATAGAACAAGTCGCGTCCATCTGACACTGATTTGCGCTCACTCATTGATAAATTATTCATGGAAACAGACAGTAAATTAAGTATCAGAAAGCCTCCCAACGTAATATCCAGAGAAACATCTATGTGCTGGCGCTACGCTTTGCCTAGCTGGATACAAACCTGCTAAATAATGAATTACTTGGTAATCTTTTAGCAATGTAAATTCTCTGCTCGGTGAAAGATAGACAGGAGCCACAGGCAACAGCCTACTTTGCCGGAAGGGAATCTCGCACTGCAGACTATAGGTTTTTCTTGTCGATTCAGACTTAATGCCTTCCCATTCTTACACTTTCCCTGTCGTATGGTAAGGGGGTGCGAGCTGGTTTGATGCTTCTATCATGAACTTGGTATGACATATGTGTCTATACCCGAGATCTGGAGGACCGCAGACAATAGTGCAATGTCTCAGGGGTCACTAGGCCTCCCCTATGCTTCATTATTTTAGTCGTTTTTAGCTAAGCAAGCATAAAATACCATAGATTATTCTTTCAGCTACTCCAAGAGCTTATTCACACACTGTGTGTAGGGAAAGGGCCCTTGGGAGATATAGTTCTGGGGGCATGCCTATGTCAGTGGGAGCTGAGCTCCCAGTAGTTTCCCTTGCAAGAATTTTACAATTCTGGTGATGATGTCACAGGAAGTAATAAAAGCTGGTTCAAGATACAGAAACAATGTAAAAGAAAAAAATGAATGCTGGGAAATGCTTTAGAGGGGGAGGTTTTGGGGGTAAATTTAGGCGAAGCCTTAACATACACTTTAAACCCCCAAGCGTCAGTAATGTGGCTATTAAGATTGTCAAGGGTGGGTTCCCATGGCATGAGAATGTTAAATAACATTCCAGCTGAGAATTAGGAATGCATCTCTCTCTCTCTCTCTTTCTCCTAATTACATAAGTAAGCATTCATTCGTGAAGGTAAAAAAATACCTTTTGAGGCAAGTCACATGATTACTGTTAAAGATCATTATTTTTTCCTATGCAGATGACGTGGGGGGTCAATGTCGGGAGACCATTCAGCAACATCAGCTGATTGGCTGATTCCAATTAAAGGTCGGTGCCCCAACATCCTTCAGAAAAAAAAACCATGTGACTAGTGCCTTGGCCACAAGACTAAACTTAAACCTCCATCTTCTTCAGCAAAGTGCATACTTTTGATATCTTTAACAATACACATGCTATGTATTGAAAAAAAACATTTTTTTTAAATGGTAGATCTGTCTTCAAAGCCAACTTAAGACCAGAATCACACAACCAAATATGTCATTGTCGGTGACCTGCAAGCAACAGGATCACTAACAAACCAGTTATCTGTTATAGATTTGATCCCTTGCTGGCTGGACCAGCGAGATATTGCTCCATCGTTGTCCCTTGGGAGGAAGATTCTGCAACATTCCACATGGAAGAAATTCCATTGAGGTAAGTGGAAGCCTTGGTCAAAGTCTTGTATTAACTCCTTCAATCTACCAATGCATACACGTGCTCTTGATGAGTACAAGACCTGCCTTCTATTATGGGTTTAATACTGCAGTAGTCTGCATAACACATGGCATTTTATATAACTTCTCCATGATCTTCAAGGTACAAACCCAACAGGTGATAACCTCAGGTAGCTACAATATTAAAACCGTTATTTGTCCAATTATGTCTCCCCTTTGAAGCAACTTATCTGGACCACTGCAGCCAGACAAAATATCATGTAGAATAATAAAGAATATAACATTGGGATACACACCCCGTGCACACCAGTAATCAAACTTGATGCCACTCACCTGCATTCTGGTAATATAGATGGGTTTGTTCATAATGATCCAACTTGCTGTCTCATAACATGGCGGTATGGTCATTGACCCATCGTAGGTGATGAAACTAGCGGTTTCGGGATAAAGCTCTTCTATATTTAGCCCCTGTAGTAAATAGGCATCATCTAAGGATACATTGTGGAGAAAACAATATTCAGTAACTAAAGAATTGCAGGAGAAAGAAACGGTGGACACATATACTGTATAGGAACACAAAGCCGAGTGCAGTTTTATAGAAACACGAAGGGCGCGAGTAGATCCAGTGCATCCTACAAGTGAGTAGGTGTACACTATAGACGGGTATACACGGGTAGAATTTTGTACCAGTGTTCTTATGAAAAATCTCATCAGGACATTTGATGATGCCCTCAGAGACTTGATGAATGTCGTTCGAAATTTAATTTGGCTTTAACATTCAATTTTGGCAAAGAAACAACAAAAAGCACAATATTGTACGAATTTTATTTGAGAAAAAATGTTCCATCCTGCTCCTTCAATATTTTTTATTGCTTTGGTTAAAAACGATTATCGAATGGACCCCATTAACTATTAGAAAATTAAACGAATGTTTAGAAACACTTTCCAACAAAATTCTAACTGTGCATACCCGGCGACCATGACCAAACGTTTGTGGACACCTGAGTCTAAACATCTATATGAGCTTGTTGGACATCCCATTCCAAAATCATGGCCAATAATATGGAGTTGGTCCCCCTTTGGGGTTATAACAACCTCTACTCTTCTGAGAAGATTTTGGAGGGATGTCTGTGGGAATTTGTGCTCATTCACCCAGAAGAAAATTTGTGAGGTCAGGAACTGTTGTTGAATAGGAAGATCTGGCTCACGATCGGCGTTCCAGTTCATTGCAAAGGTGTTCAGTAGGGTTGAGCTCAGGACTGGGCAGGCCACTCAAGTTCCTCCACATCAAACTCATCAAACCATGTCTTTATGGAACTAGCTTTATGCACATGGGCACACTTATACTGGAATAGGAAAGGGCCTTCGCCAAATCTTTGCCACAGGGTTGAAAGAGCACAATTGTTTACAATAGGGGGTAGGCAACCTTGGCACTCCAGCTGTTGTGGAACCAGAAGCAAAAGTAGGCATTCCAAGTCTCGTAGGGTTCCCTAATATAATAATATTTGTATTATATTATTATATTTTATTGTTATTTTGTATAATTAAAAAAGTCTGTTGGTGGAGTCAAAACTAATACTATTGTTGTAGCTGGTAGGCAGGAACTCTGATGGGGAGATGTCATAGGTGGCAGGCTAATGAAGGGGTAGGCAACTTCGGCACACCAGTTGTTGTAGAACTATCAGTCCTGTGAGGTGTTCCAAGACTCTGACGGCCACAGGCATGACTCCCAGTGGCAGAGCCATGATTGGATTTGCAGTCTGACCACAGCTTACCTTGCTCTAAAATGTCTTTGTATGCTGTAGCATTAATAGTACTCTGGTAACACCTGAATAACTTGGAGAGGTGTCCACATACTGTTAGGCCATATAATGTGTAGATGAGCACCAATGTATCTTTTTAGAAGGTCAGCAGCCACACATATGTCTCTTGACATCTTCACTTTAAAATCAGATGTCAGAACAGACGTTAGATTATATTTGCCTTCCATAAGTAAATCCAGATATTGGACAGAATTCTGCATGGATAAAAACATTTAGGTAGAGGCTCAGTAATTAGAGTTGGAACAGAGACCGGGAATTAAGGAAATGTATAACATTGCTAATTATATTCTAGGTTTTACAGCTACTTATACGAGACTCACGCTGTGCTATTGACGAGTGACTCATTTTGTTTTTATCGGGACTATGTCGCTCTCTCCTCTTCTATCTGTTGTAGCTGCTGTAGACGTGTAATTTGTTTGCTTCATACTGCTTTTCTTTTTAATTTTAAAGGGACCTCATTGGCCTTTAAATCTTTTCAATTGCACATGGCAATCTGATCACCTTTGGAGATTCATGGAGATTCATGACTCTTTATGTTAAAGCCCAACTCCAATCCAAACTTTTGTGGCGGCTGAGTGGTGGTGGGTGTGGCAGGGGCGCGGCTAGGTGGTGGTTGGG